TGGTTTATTCCAAATAACTCAATGTTCACGTCAACATAAATACGTGCATGTTTATCTTCCAAAATGAATTATTTCAAATAAAAACAGTGGAATAATAAGTTGTTGGATGAAGCTATAATGCTGCTCGTATTTAAATTTTAAACACTATAATATTTTAGCAATAATCTAGCATTCGAACATTTAGCATTAAAACATTTTACATTTAAGTATAACAAAATACAAAATTTGTATTTAATATTAATTGTAGTGATATTTTTTCAAAAACCCCAATTGCTATGAGAAAAGAACTGTACCTACAATCATAGGTACGTGATTTTTTTTAAAACTTTTATTACAAAATTTTGGCACCGGAAAAAGGTTCGCCGCAATATGTGCTCTATATTGTATAAGCGCCCGCTGCCGTCTATATCATGTACGTGTGCGTATATTTAATATTATATAAATGTTTTTTATTAGTGCTCAACCTTAAGTCTTGTGTTCACAGTTTCGTGTATACGTATAGGAATCAAAATTGTTATCTACAAAGTATACAAGTTGAGCTATTATAATATATTGAAAATCTTCAAGACATCGTACATCGAAAACCCAGCTTTACCGCGTACTTATCTGCACCGGACTACCAATTTTTATATTTTACAAGTTATAATAATATGATAACACGTATAATCGTATTATTATGAAAGGCGAGTATACAGTATATACCATGGTTTGGATTATACACGTTGTCGGTTGATTATTTTATTATATGTAAGTGGAATTGGGATTAAATTTTTGGAGGGGCTCTATTCCAATACAAATGTTGAACATTAAAAATGTCTCCTTGGGCTTAATATACAACGCGTATAATAATATTAACTTTTAAAATATTTCGCGTCTTCCTTTTTTAGCCTCATGGGGGGTAAATCTGCGGACAAGGTAGAAGCTGGTACTTAACTAGAAATAAATTGTTTAACTGAAAACTGGTCGGGAAACGGGAGGGTTAATTCACATAATAAAATATTGGGGGACTTTACCCTATCGCCTATTACCTCCGAATCCACCTAATACGGTGTCACCTACTTGGATATAAATATACGTGTGTGTCATAGAATCGTGTACGGCGTATGTGAAACTGCGGCGACAAATGAGATTTGCTACTCGAAAAATAAAAACCCTCCCCAATAGTTAGGTATAGTTTAGAGCCGGCGAGTCGGTTTGACATGGCGGGCCGAGTCTTGTCGGCTATTGTACGATGCTAACATAATATGGGCCCGATCGAAAAGGTCGTTCGAACATTAGTGTCACTGCATCGACTACAACCCCCCTAGTTAACGCACAAAACACCTTTGCTCGCTGGTATATATTATCATCTATACGTGTTCTCGCGCGTGCGTTTCGACGACCCTGTGCGACGGGGTGTGAGCCTTACTGGCGGCGACTGCAGCATCGTACCGACGACCGGTCCGTGTACAGGGTGCTTGTTTGCAGGATTTCACTATATTATTATTTGAATAACAATCCAACCGAACAGCGCTTGTCAAATTCTCCAGATATACCACGACCCTATATACTCACCGCCTGCAATCTATACACGATGTATGTACCCATATACAGCACGTATAACGACGATGATAATGCGATAATGTGGTTACATCAGGCATCTGCCCAATTATATACCGTGCGTGTACCGCGGTATTTCTAACGAACTGCAGTAGTTAGGTCTTGTTATAACTAACTGGCATATATGATATAAACGACGACTATACAAAGCGGCGAGAGAATTCACCGAGTCACTTCACTGTTGAAGGCTGCAGCGAATGAAAAATTGTAACTGTATAATATAATATTTCGATAGTAGCAAAACCGGCGCGCGTCGACTTCGAGGGCAAAATACGTGAGTAGATGTATTGAGTCCCTTTTTTGGGTCACTTTTTTCGGCGCTTTTTTCAATGTTTCGAGACATTTTGTCTTCGTTTTACTTTTATACAAAGTTATTAATATTAATAATAATGTACGTTTTAATAAGAATTATTGGGGGGGGGAGGGGGCTGATGAAAATATATAAATATAAATACCATTAAGCATAAAATATCAGTAAAATGTTTCCTATTGTATATTATATTCAACACAAAATATGTATTGGTAAATGCTAAACCAATATACTAGATATAAATAATAAGTTGAAGGCGCCTAGCTCTTTAACTGTTGCCAAACTTATTTAAAACAGCATCGTCTGTAACTATATAAGCCGATAATACCAAAAAGTCACATAACCTAATCTGACATATATTTAACCAAACCATAGGAAGTTACAGGCATTTCGTTAAATAAACGAACTGTATAAAAATGTTTGTAAGGACTCGCTTAATATTAATATAAGCCATTATTTTATACGATATAATATAATACGGTTGGCACTTAAAAAATACATTATTACCACTGCAGTGTATTGTGTGTATCCAAAATCGACACAACAGCAGTCAGCAAGTCTGGAATCTGCAATTTCCGATTGCATTTAATATAGTCTGACAAAATATACATTGAATTGCCTGTAACAGAGCTGAATACGTCCTTCACAATATCCCAACAGGATATTCTCAATCATGCCACTATTGCCACTGCCACCGTGGACTCCTCTTTTGACAATTTCAAATGTTTCACGTCCGTTCGCGTTTTTTCATTATGTTCTACATTTTTGTCACGATTTGCGGACCGCGACCTTATAGGTGCTCGCTCCACATGTGACCACGTGCAGGTGCATACGTCATATAATAATAATACGATATATTGACATTGTGTAATATAATAGGCACCTTTGTTGTATGCGCGGTGCGAGTGCAGTTTTCCAGTCGACGGCGAAAGTAATAATCCCTTTTCGGAATGCGTCGACGCGACGGACAATCGTGTGGGGGGTCCTTGTGCGAAGTTCTTGCAACCCGACGACCACTGGGACAATATTTTCACAACTGGCCCGAGGATTAATCTATATATATATATAAGGGAAAAATATGTAAGCTGAGCCCGCTGTTACCTTTTATTTTTTGGCCCGATAATTTTCACCGATAAAATATGTTAAGCACGAAAATGTATTTAATGTAGGAACCTATAATAGTAAATAATATAATATATTATATACATTTATTAAATTTAATTCTGCTATAACGAATTTGCATATTTTTTAATGATATAAAAATGAAAATAAACCTATAATCGCCTCCTCTTAGCGTCCTCCGGTTAATGCTACACGGATCTCAAAAATATTATAAGATAATTATTAATTTTTATTCCGACCGAGTTTACATGTCGAATCACGTTTAAGTGAATAAGCCCGGGCCGAGTTTTCAATAGACCTTTTGAATCTTTTTCTAGAGCAGAGTTTACAATCGGCCATATGAAAATCGTTAAATATTTTCGAAAAGTTGTCGCGTCGTGGAACGCAGTCGAACAGCTACGTCGAAGATCCTCTGACACGGTCAACCTGCCAGTGACCGCCTATACTCTATATGAAATAATGGAACTATATATATGTACATTGGTGACACTATATATATATATATGTATATACAATTACAATTTACGATGTATATATATATATTTACGCACACGGTATAAAGGTGTACACCTGGTCGGTTGGCGTCACACCGGCTGGGACGAGGGTTCGGCGGCGGCGGAATTTCCTCTCCGGGCCGAATGTGCCCGCGGGTATTGTCCTCCTCCATACAACCCGTCGTATACATCTGTGTGTGAGTGTGTGTCTGCCGTATACTTCGGGATCGTCCTTTGTCGTCATTCATTTCTTATAAAAACTGTGTGTAAAAATACGTATTCCACGACCCACCGCCTAAATACATATATATAATATATATGATAATATTGTATACACATAAAAGGTACCTACTATATAATATATTTGTGTGTGCGCGTGTTGTATATAATACGCGGGCAAACGCGTATATAGGAGTGTGTGCGTCAGTATAATAATATGGTGCAGTGTGTATATAGTATAATATGTTATATTATTATACAGGACGATAATCGCGCGCGTACACGACGGGGGGAAGATAAAAACCCAGGATGGAGTTTGACGGCGGACAACAATGGGGATGACGCTGTGTGACTTTCCGACGGGACCACTGCCACCGCCGACGATCCCAAGCGAGGGGGGTAGTTGTGGCGAGGGGGCGGCGGTGAGGTAGGTTAGGTCACAGGGCACATTGTCGTCAGCGTATAATATATATACTATATACTGTCGTCCAGAGCGTTTAATACCCGTCCTCGAAACACATGTATATATCGTTGCTGTATATTATATGCCTACAGGGTGGTTACACTGAGCGCTCGTATAGGTGCACACCTCTATAATATACAGTGCGTTAAAATCTCGTGTCACGACCGACGGACCGAGCGAGTCTCCGTTGCGGTATAGAACAAAGTCGTAGGCGTAAACATAGACATTTATATTTAACCAACTGTGTACAATATATATGGTTTACCCGAGCTTTGCGAACCTTCCAGGTGAACTTTTATACGACATATAGAAGCACGTCATTATATATTTTGTTGTAACAAAATACGTGATATAATATCACACGATACCTACGCGGTGTCTAAATTATGCCTTTTCGACTGGTTCCGCATCAATGTCGGATATTACCATAGAATATTTGAACCGATTACGCACCCCTTTACACGCACAATATACGATACACTGTTGCGACGGACGGGATATAATGGTGGCAATCTAGAACACTCTACAGTATAGGACTATAGGTATATATGTAGGTAGGTACTTATAATATCATATAAATTTGTGCCACCACCCTTGCAGCAACTGATCAGCCACAGTACACGCGCCGGCAAGCACTCTGTAGATACGATCGTCGTCGTCGTCAGAGGGTTGTGAGTGATGAGGGTTGGGTGGCGGAGGGTATGTGGCATGCGTGCGTGCGTGCGCGCGTTACCGCGTATTGTCGTCGGCGCGCGTCCAGAGTCAGTTAGTCGCCGTCAGTGTCCGCCGCGCGATGACCGATTTTACTAGCGCTCGACAGCAGCAGCCGCAACAGCCGCAACCGCAGCCGCAACAGCTGCGGGCGGTGCCGGTCACTGCGGCCCGACCACCGTATTTTGATTTTAACGACATTTTTGGGTGTTCCGCAGGAAAAAAACTGTCGCCGCCCATGACGACGGCTCCGACGACGACGCCTGCGGCCAACGGAAGTGGCTCGACGACGGCCACCGCGACGACGGCCACAGTCAACAACAACAACAACCACAGCAACAACAACAACAACGGGGCGTCGATCAAGCAGCAGCAACAATCCTCGGCCGGCGGCCAACAGCTGATGTCCGCAGCCACGGCGGGTTGCTGTCCCGTGTGCGGGACGGCGCTCCGCACGGCCCACGAGCTCGAGTCCCACTTTATATGGGAACTGGAACGGCTGTACAAGCAGGCGGCCGCGGCAGGACGACGGCACCGGAGGGGCACTCCCGACAAGCTGGGCGAAGGCCACCACATGCATGGTCTCATGGTATGTCCCAGAGACGGCGGCCGCTTGTCGCCAGTCGCCGGTGGCAGCAGCAGGGACGCGACGCTGCACGGCCGATGGGAGGTACGTGCATTGCTATTATAATCATTATATTACTTAAATAGGTATTATAATTTATAATATGACACAATACCTGATCCTGCACAGGATTTGTCGTGACAAATTAAATAATTAAATTCCTTAAACTCCTCTAAATATCAACTACACAGATTTTTAACACAGTAATTTTGGTGGGAGGGGGTGGTTTTGACCAAATTATAAAATACAGGTCCGAAATTATATCCAATCATGATAACCAGTCTATTTTCTGTATACCTACCTAATAACTTATAAAAACGAAAAAAAAATTGTTTTTCGTGAGCCATCAACTCCCTGCGTGTGAAAATGCGAATTTCACCAAATCGTTCCTCTGTACATTCCCTCAAAATCTCAAATACAATATATAGGTACTTGCAGTGTACCATACCGAATGTACACTTCGTCATTGAATTCTAGAGATTTTCGCTAATAGTTTTGATTTCTTTTTTTACTTTCGACCGTTTTAAAATGACCAACTCTTTTCACTACACCCCTGTACCGCTTGTATCTACAATCAGAAAAGTCAGGTTTGCAAATATCTGTTTTTTGAAACATGCTATTCCTGTGATCATATTTACGGTCTATCAGCACATCGTTAGAAGTAGAACACTGTCGCTAAAAGCGCAGAAGTAATTATTCACCCTGTGGCTTTTATCTGCATTTACAACTCTTGTTCGAGTCGTCATTTGTTCTTAAATCTCCGTCACAGATTGGTATGAGTTCTGGATGTGTAGTTATCTCAGGTTAACAACCCGTCATCGGGCGGCAATCAAGTGACTGACATAATATGTGCATACGATAGCTGCAGAGCAAAAAATTCGAAAACATTTCAACGGTTAACCGTATCGCAAAGTAGGTAATACGTTCGCGTTACGTCATCACATTATGGTTTCGTCGATAATATTATTCACCATAATTATTAAATGAGCGCATGCTAAACATCCCGTAAAAAAATATTCTATCAGTCATCTGCTTAGCTAGCCCTCCCCTCCATCTATGACTAAATTTAAAACTTAGGCGAAATTTGTTATTGCAGCTTGATTTTTTTTCGCTGTCTGCCTGGCTCATTCGACTTTTTATTATATCTTTTAATATGAGTACCCAGAGTGACTCTATAATATATGCCTATGACAACAATATAATAATTATTCGTACTATTTGTTTCCATCCGCATACAGACATATCAAAAAGTCAAGGCCAATCGACACAACCGGTTGAGGATCAAAAACCGGAAACGGAAACCCGACGAGATGTTGTTGACGCCGACACCAGCGACCTGCTGCTGTCCCGTTTGCAGCGAGCCCGTGGCCGCGGCCACCCAGGAACAGATGAACGCTCACGTGGAAATGTGCCTGAGGAACAAAGTATGTAAAAACATAATATTGGAGCACAGAGTTTTATTTGTGAGTCGTGATGTTTGTGAGTAGTGACCTGAGAACTTCCGGTTCGGAAAGTGATCACGAGTCAAAAATGCATTAAATCGTTACTTCCGATGATGCGTGGTTATTTATTTCCGAAACATAATTGTTTTGTCCGGGATTTATTTTAGTCCAATTTATTTAAAGTTTAAAACCTAAAAACTTAATGCTGCAATACCTATACCACCATTATATAGGTACAGCAATATTAATGATTGTTACCTATATACTACGTATTATTATTATATTCAATATTGTTTTTAAGTTATTAGTTATTTTATAAAAGAAAAGAGGTCGTTGGTTGTTTGACAAAAGTTTACCTCCCTATGAACGGTTGTGTTGTGCCTTGATGTATATTCGGTCCGAATCTTAGGAAAGTTGGAAACCGTAGATGAATGAATTTAATTTACGTAATACTTAATAACTATATGACTTTATGCCAAACGACTCATACAAATATTGAGCTCCGCGTGTTCGGGATTCCATATGATGACTTTCCAATTCAAAAAAATGTCCCATAATCGGCCTCGGCTGCACTCGACCCTGAGTACCGGCCATTAGTATTTTCAACCATATTTTCGGTATACCACATTAAACCCTGTCACGACGTCATACCACGGTTGTTCGCTGCGGCGGTTTTCCCGGATGTTTTTACTTATATGTTCCGCACGCCGACGCTATTTTTCAGGGACACCCATCAGTGGCGACCGCTGGAAACGACGACGAAGACGAGAACGTGGACGTGGAAGGTGACGCCGAGACGACGATGTACGACATCGTATACGGAGGCGGAAGTAGCGGATGGCACGGCCAACAGCCACACAACAGGATGAGACAGCAGCAGATGCTCATGCACGGCGGAGGATACAACAGAGGTGAGACCCGATCAGTATTTGTAGGCTCACACTGTCAGATTTTCTATAAGTTTAATTCTTATCTCCCTCTCCTTCTCTCTCTCCCTCACGACTTACGAGTCGTCGTAAATAATATTATATAGTTCCGTGTTTAGCTCCTACGAGGGTCCTATATGGTATTTATAAATAGTCAGTGTTCATAACTATGCAATTATGAGCATATAAAATATTATACACCTACTGCAGGCGTATATTATACTTTACCAAGTGCGTGTACCATTTGAGGAAGAATTAATATTTTATAATTGATCGGCAATTCTTCCTTGAAACGTGTTCACATTACATATAGGCCTCGACATCACATTTTTAAAATAATTTTGTTTTACTATTAAAAACGTTGCTTTATTGCTGGGTCGTTGGATTTAAAATTGGTCGTTACAATCGCATACCTAGTTCTTTTGGTTTTTACAACACTTTTAATGAAATATTACAATTAATTGATTTGAACTACGTATGTTCTTGGTGTACATTCCCATCACTATACAAACCAAATTGTAATTTACCCGCATTATTGCCCATTCATGCTACATTGAAAACAATTTTAATTCAAATTTTGTATTTAATTGCAATAGAAATACATTCAATATTTACAATGCTTCATAACTTTTAACATTCAATTTAAAGATAATAATATTTATTATTTTGATACGACTATAATATTTTTTTTATTCAGAGATTGTAAAAAATTATTTTATCTATTTTTCTTTCTAATATTACATTAACAGTTGCTCGAAACAATTTTTTTACTGTTTCATGTATAATTTTATATAAATGCAATCAGTTAAATACTTAAATCAATTGGATAATTTATTAATTATTGATAGGTAGGTAGGTACTTGTATTCTTAGCTATTGTTTTCTTAATTTTTATTTTAAATAAGTTGTTTATGTACCTATACTAATTATAAGTTATATTAACCAAACCTAGTACACTTATGTAAATGAGCTTTCAATGCTCAATTACATTAAGTCCATTAATCATAATCTATTTACTTCTATGGTTAAATTCTAATTGTAAATTTTCCGCAAAATATAATTTACAAAATAAGACCAGGAAAAATATTCTATGTAATATTTTGTTTATTATTTTAGTCAAAAATGTGTAAGATGAAGTCAATGAATATTTTCAATCAAATAATCTACACGAGTGATCAAATACCAAATGATTACTTTACTTCCGATACTTTTAATTATAATACCTATAGGCTATAAGTATAATCTTTACGTAACATGAACGACATTAAATTTTAAACCGAAATATAAATCATACGTTTTTGTAGAACGCTTATTTTTGCAGATCCCGCAGAATTACCCTGGTTTATAAACGTATTAAATTCCAAATCCTAGATCATATCGTAGGCTAACTTAAAATATTTTCACAACTATAGATATAAATCGGTTGGCGACGGTGACGATATCGCTTTTAGAAACCACTTAACTGCCACAACATAAACCTCAGCTAGCAGCTACAATACCCGCCAGCCACACGCCAACCACCCGCCACAGTTTTACTCGAAATCCTCTGGATAATTTATTCATAGAAAATAAAGCAACGGATAGACGACAAGAGTATAAATAAGGGACGGCCCTCAGAACGTAAAATAAATATCGTATAGATCGTGCGATTATATATACACTATTATACACATTATGTTATACGAGTTTATACTTATTTATTCTTTTTAGTAGCCACATGAATTTTCTAGAAAATATAATCATGTGAATTATTCACAAAAAAATAATCAGCTAGAAGGCCATTGTGTTTGACAATTATATATTATATTATTATGTATTATGTATGTGACAAGTAGGGCTGGGATTTTGTCATTTTGATGCCCTAGAAAATCTCAACAAATGCATTTAAATTATATTTATTATAACTTGAAAATTTGAAAAAAAAATTTTTAATTAATTTTTTTTTTTTAATAGTATTGTACGTTGTTACTTGTTTAGTTCTGTTGTATTTCTGTTTTCTTAATCATTCATTCTAAAATAATAATTTGAGATAATTTGAGCGGAAAGGCTATTAGCTATGATAAAATATTTATCGACGAAAACTTGTCGTGATATACAATTTAATATTTATATTATTCGGCATTTTGCCGAATATCTCTTGTTAATCGCAACAATTTTTGTTCATTTTATAAACAAATTGTGAAAAATGCTCTAAAAACTAAGAAAATTCACTTAAAACATCAAAAAAATGCTAAAAATCACTAATATGTATATATGATTTTTTATGTGACGGGGTTGTTAATTTTTATTTAAAAAACGAGAATTTAGCGGACCGATTGAGCATATTTTTTTTCTTCAAATACAAACCATTTCACTCGATCAAGTGGTCAACTCGACTACCAAAGGTTAAAAAATCGGCGCCACAACGGACTTCTGTTTTTATTTACTTTAAACAAAAATTACAACTCAATATTATAGTTTTAAGGACTAAGCAGTTTAATAAAACATTTTATAATCATAATATATGTCACTCAAGTATTTCAAAAACATAACATTGTTCATTAGGTTAGAGCACTATAATATATGCATTTATCGACATTTTTCATCGGCAATTTTTACAACATATTTTCTACAGTAAAAATACCAATTTCCAAACAACAAGAATATTAAATTATAGATGCCTGTAATCAGGGCTTTCAAACCTTGTAATAACGTTATGATTATAAAGTTATATTTGACGAAAAACGATTGAAATTTGTAAACGTAATTGTAAGGAAAAGCAATGATCAAAAATAATTAAATACCGCAAAACAAAACATAACGATTAACAAATATATTATACATCATTAAACGCAAGACGCGTAATGTATAGAATCCGTTAAACGAAAAATATCGCAAAACGTAATTTAAAGAATTGCATTAAATAAAAAATAATGCAAAACGAAATAATTTAAAATCCATTTATTTAAAAGTTATATTGGTTTCGCAGAAATATTTATTTCACGCATACGAACTTATGAACTGATTATATTATATTTCGTATCCAATATTACCTGCCAGCATTAGTTGTTGTTAATAACATAGGTGATAGGTATTAACATTATTCTAAATAACGATAGACCCAAAATTTGTACAACGTTTTAATTCTGAATAACGATAAACGAAAAACTTGTATAACGTTTTAACTGTAAATAACGATAAATGCAAAAATTGTGTAACGTTTTAATTGTAAAAACATAAAACTGAATTTTTTTTCAAAATACCTGCCAATAATACCAATATACTACATTATTCATATACAATATAGGTATTATATTTTATCAATTCAGTGCTCCATAACAGTGAAATCAGAATTAACCAACTATATAGTGTTACAAAATAGGTATAGGTAGGTACTTACCTATTTTATTAATATAATCACATACATTTAAAACTGTAGTACCTATATACATAATACAAAAATAGTGCAAAAATATAAGGTTAGGAAAATATTTTCCCTCATAAATATGCAAGTTCAATTATAATGAACATATCATACTGCCATTTAATGAATATTATTTCGTGTACCGTACTGAGTACTTTAAACTTGATTCAGTACCGTTTAGCAGTGTCAAACGAGAAAAAACAATAATATTTATAATCACCAATCTGCATTTTTAGAGTATAAGTACTATATTATTATAATTGCTTTTTTTTTTTTTGAAAGTATAGCAAATTTATTACTCTCAAGTGTCAACTCTCGTGATACATAAACGTCCCCCAAGTGACATATGTACAATAAAACGTATAATATATTATTATATCGATTTTCTAACCATTCGCTAGCCCCAATTTTATCCTTTCTCAGAGTTTTAAAATTTTTAATTTTTTATATACCTATTTAGAAATCATATAAAACTTATATTTTTCATACCATTATCATACAATTTTTAAATAACTAAACCTTGATATTCTGAAATTCATGGTATGAATATTATTTGCGTACTAAAGGTGTGAGCAATGCTTGGTGAATCGTCCTGTTAAGATTATTATTATGTGGATGATCTATCACTACGGCCAAAACCGTTATTAGATTATGTTGTTTTTAATAAATCTTTTTTTTTTCCTAACCTTAACTATATATTTTTAATTTTATTACAATCAGCTAGGTGACACGCCCCATAAAAAAATTGATTTTCTAAAAAAACGTCCGTTTCCTTTTTTTTTGCGTATATTCAGGTGCCGCAGCCGTGGCGATGAACTGTACAGGCCCCGGAAATCCGGCCCAGCAGCCGCCGCCCAGACAGTCGGCGACCGGTGGTGAAGACTCGGCCGGTGGTGCCGAAGACGCCGTGTTGGTGGTCGACGACAACGACAACGAAAACGGCGGCAGCAGCGGCAGCTTATACAACAAGTACGGCCCTAACCAGTACGCCGAACGGGACTTAATCGTCCCGTCACGTCCTCCTACCGCTTCTTCGGAGAGCCGCCGACTTACACCCGCTGAGTAAGCGTCGTCGCTCAGAATTTCCCGAAACCTCCAGCGAGTACTACACTACACCCCCCCGTTTAGGTTTTCGTTTTTAAAATTTTTTTTTCTATATTTTTGTTTTCCATTCCTGACACCCGCCGCCCCTCGCCCACAACCCCAACTAATGACTGGCCATCCTCTGACACGGCCACCGTACCGACACCCGCCGACTTGTAATATGTTTAGCCCGGCTTGGCGTCATATCACTGCACCGATTTGATGTTCTTATTTCCGATTTTTTTTTATAATTATTATTTTAATTCTAACTTAAACTTTTCTATTAGGCACTACCCTTTGAACACACCCTCACAACAAACTCCCTCAACCACCCACACATAATCCGCTACGTCCGTTCGTCCAGCACAGCAACATAATATTATAATATATTGCCCGCAGAGGCGCACACAGAGTGGTACCTTTATACACAGTGATGTATTGGTAATTTTTTTCTAGGGTATACGCTTAACACATAAGCTCAAAAAAAAATTGTCTAAACAAACATAAAATTAACTTATGGTGGGTCGTGTGGTATACCACCGCGCCTTTATATGTCGATTGATTTATCTAGCCCCCCCCCCCCCCCAGAAAACGGATTTTAGACATATTGCATCAGAATGAGATGGAGTTACAGTGCTTAGAAACTTCCTTTAAAAAAGAAACTAAATCCTTTACCATTCCTGCCTTGAAGATAGGAATTAGTTCCTTTCCTCGTTCCTTTTTAATGTGACTTAAAATAAAATAAAAAAACATAGGTACATCGTACATGTTTATACTATAATTGTTTTAATTTTAAAATTTTAAACATAACACATTGTTATTTAGACATTTAGTAATAGTTTTAAATTATATAATTAATAAGCTGTATAAATAAACCTCTGCTACAGAAATACAGAATTTATATTTTGTAAACATTATCAATAATATCGTATACAGGTTTATTTTTATAGCTCTTCATATTAGTTACTAAATTTTAATAGAAGCTAAACATTTTTTTACTTTTAGTTTTAAAAATGATTTAATTACTTTTATTTAAAAATAAATTAACAAAGAAAGGAGCGAAAAAAAATAGTTCATGTTCCTCTAAAAAGTGAACGAAATTTCAGTACGTTCCTAAACATGAAAAAGGAACTACGTTCCCGATAAGTTACTAAAAATGGAACGAAATCAAAGGAAGGGATTCCTTTGAACGAGTTCATTCCAAGCACTGAGTTAGAACTTACTTTTTGTTGCATAATTTCGTTCTGTTTGCCATGTAAGCAGTAAAAAAAAATTGATCTAATACATTTTCCTAACGATTATTATTATAAGACAATTGGTAATTAAATAAAATCTTTTTTACTAAGAATATATTATGAATAGTAATATATTACATAATTTCATAAATATAAAATAATTGACTGACTATAGAATCTGCAAATTCTTATCAATGTCGCTGTTTTCTACCAAATCTAACTGATTGTGATAAGGCATCTGTGAATAACTGTTTTGTTTTTGAAGCCGCTGTCGATCCAATAAATACAATATCATTCTTATAATCGGCAGTCCCTCAAGTCAACCATAACTATACAGATAATATTATAAAAATATCTGTGGACTGTGTCCATAACGTTGATAGTTTTAAATAATTGTATCCATAGCCGTGATTATAATTGTAAATATATGAATTTGATATTGATATGATGGTTATTAGTCGATTATCATTAAAAAAATTTTGTAATTTTCAATAATAAAGAAAAAAAAATTTTTTTTTTTGGAAGCAATTACTATTTTATTTTGAAGGTATACGTGGGTATACGCGCGTATACTTGCGTATCTCTAGTAATTTTACAGGGTATACGCTAAATCAGTAAACTGGTGATAGGGTATACGTCGTATACCCGCGTATACCCTCCAAAACACCACTGTTTATACATATATATATATAGAGGTACCTACTTAATATAATAATTATTGTGTAATGCTAATGCAATGGGGAATTAATAATAATAATTTTTTATAAGATTATTACGTTTACAGTACTAACACATTTGTGACGACGCGTCTCGATAATATCATAATGTACCCATAAATCATAATCATAAAAACAATAATAATAATAATAATTAATAATATCGCTATCGTTGTTTGGTGTTCAGGCTGAACGATCCGAGTGCGATGGATGCTATGGACTCGTGCGAAAACGTCGGGCCGCTGGACGTGTCGATCAAAAAGGAAAACACACAAGACGAAGTTACAGTGAAACCCAAAATGGACGTCGACAAGTACTGCGCACAGTTCAACAACAACGGTCAGGTCGTCGAAGCGCTAAAAGCTCGGATCCGAGAACTTGAGTCGGTGTCCAAGACCGATGGCGACAAGTTTACTTGTCTATTGTGCAAAGTAAGTATACCGCCACTGTACCGATGAAATGCTTCTTTCGTGACACTACTTAGGTAGTATAATATCCGATATCCGTATCAAGAATATTATGACGTTTTTCAATTGATAACGGCGGACGACCGTTGTAGTATTATGTAGGTACAATAAATTCGTGTCCAATTCGTGAAATAATTACCGATGCCTACATAAAAATGCAAAGCCGCTGCCTTCCATCCCCCCCCCAAACTATACCACATGAGACCACGGTGGTATATAGGCATCGGTTAACGCGCGTTTCTTGACCCTTCAGTGCAGTGCGCGGACTTTGTACATTCCAAAATTAATCTTACAAAACCTATATAATATGCGAACTCAGTATGTGGTGCACTGAATCGACATAGGGTTAGTGAAGTGTTCAAATTTTAGATATTATTTCAATTGTTATTTTCATTGTTATTTTATGTTTCCACATAACCATTGTAATTGGTCTCGCCCGTTTAATCAAAATTAAATAAATTAGAAATTTAGACATCACATTATAATATATTTATATTGTATACTATAGTTAATTATTATAATAATATTTCCGGCCAACAATTTGTAATGATAATATTATAATTATTAACTATAGTATACAATATAAATATATTATAATGTAAAATATTATAATATTTTTATACTACAAATTACAGTCTAGATTTATCTGCTAAATAATATATTTTACTATTTAGTTAATAATTTCATTGAGTATCCGTATCATACATATAGATATATTGTTTAATACATAGAAATCTATTTGCATTTAATGAATATTCAATATGATAAACCAGGTCTTGCAAACGTTATAATAACATTATGATTATAACGTTATATTTGACAAGAAATGATTGAAATTTGTAAACGTTGTTATAACAGAAAGCGACAATCAAAAATAATTAAATACCTCAAAACAAATAATAACGATTAACAATATATATTATATATCATTAAACAAAACATAACCCAAAATTTAATTTATAGAATATCACTAAACGAAAAATAACGCAAAACGTAATTTATAGAATATAATTGAACGAAAAATAACTCAAAATGAAAAATTTTAAAATATATTTATTTAAGAGGTGGCGAGGTCTATTGGTTTCGTAGAAACATTTATTTCATGCAAACAGTCTAAGAATTGATTATATTATATTCCGTATCCGGGCCATTACCTTAATAGGTGTTACACTATTTTAAATAACGATAAACGCAAAACTTGTATAACGTTTTAGTTCTAAATAACAATAAACCCAAAACTTGGAAAACGTTTTAATTCTGTCGATAAACTCAAAAATTGTGTAACGTTTTAATTGTAAATAACATAAAACTGAATTTTTTTTTCAAATGCAAGCCCTGTGATAATCATCAAAAATATATTACATAATACATATAATAAGTGTACCCATGTAGTATGTACACAGACAGAGACATTTTTATTTTTAAATAAATATAATATAATAAATACATGATTTTTATATATATATTTGAATATTTAGTAAAATAAAAACAAATCTAGTAATATAAGGTGTTCTTAATATGATTTAGTCTCATAATTTAAAAACTTTTTCTTCGCCGTCCTAAATAATTAAAATAATAAATTATATTTCGTTTTAAATACATATTTGTTTGCTTGATTATGTTAATACATAATAAATATAGTATTATATTCTTAATATGATTCGTTGGACCATAATTATTTTAAAATGTATCCAAATATCTTAAATTATACCTAGACAATTTGACATTATTGAGTAAGTATATGTAAATAATATTATAGGTATTACAATTTATTTAAGTATAATATAATATCCGATGAGTTAGGTACCTACTATAACCCGCTGGTAATAATAATATCTAAAATCTCAACACATTACTAACCCTATATCCGCACTGATCATACAAATTCCGTTCACTGCAGCTGCACTGAATCGTGCTGGGATGGTAATAAATATACGCCTTGGGTGAATCCTCGTCATCGTCCTCCCGACGTAACGCCACGACTGTCCAAACTGATCCGCGTCTGTATAAAAAATTATGGCCGTTCTTAAAAGCAACTTTTCATTTTTCCAGGGAAATTTCAAAGATCCCGTCGTGTCGACGTCGTGCTGGCACGTGTACTGCGAAGTGTGCTGGCTACAGATACTGGTGAGTGTTACTGATTGTTATTATAAGAATACAGATCCGACCACAGGCGCTGACTTTTAGATTTTAACACGTGGGCAAATAAACAACTACCTACTGCTCGTGGATATTTTTCCAATTCTCTTTATTTAAAAAAAAAAAAACATTTTTATACGAACATAATATTGTCTAAAACATAATATTCATCTGAGTGCAAAACTATGTTTTCTTGTCGAACCCTATTTGATAAACATATTTCCTATCTGGCGTAAGTCCAAATGGTCTACAGTTGTTTCGTGACAATTCATAACTGCCAAATCATTCAACCGGTTCTGTTTCATCTTCAAGTACTTCTAGTATATTTAATCTTCTTTCTTCTTTGAATCTTCTCGACGCGGAAAAGGATCTCTCAGCAGTGCAGGTACCTATATAACATATCCCGTTAATGTGGATCCCTTAAGTCGGCGCCTGTGGGTCTACCGAATACGCGACTTTATCGCGACATTAATGTCTCCTCTCCTATTCAGGGTGCTAAAAAGCTGTGTCCTCAGTGTTACGTGATAACGCTTCCGTCCAACTTGCGTCGCGTTTACCTGTAAAGCGGCCGAGGAGCAGCCGCAGGACTCGCCGCCAGCGGAGAACGTGGCCGAAAATATTATGTCTCCGGCTAGTCTCCGTCACCACAGCGTCGCCGCATATAATATTATAATATTTATTTGTAAATTATTTTATTGTAATTTTTGTTTTTCCCGGTTTGCCGCGTGTTCGCTTTCCGATTTCATATCCAAATTATTGTACAAACATTATCGCAACGATGTATGTACCCTACGCATCGGCATATATATTTTAGTGTACCTATACCTACATACTATATAGATAATACACCCACATCATATCCTATATGTATTATGTACGATAGGCCATAGGTCGTACGTCGTCGTCTCCGCACAGCGTACCCACGTAAGGCTGGTGCCTTTGTATAATACGTATATAATATTATAATATGTGTTGGTGACATTTACGCGTTTTCCGTTTACCGCAAGTCGGTCGTGCCCTCCAAACCCACCGCCCCCCCCCCGGCCCACCGACGACACTGACGTCCCGAGCACCCCCTCTTTATGGCCGTCAAATCCATATACGCCACGCAATAATATCGACATATCAATATATGCTATATATATATATATATCGTACAAGACAAATCGGTCTGCCAAAACCAAATATATGCATAAATATATTATATTATTTGTATTTGTACATAGGTAACCTAACCTCTATATGACCTATATAATATATTATACTCACGCACAACCATTACCGACGTGTGGGTACACACCACGTACGCAATAGACGTACAACGGTACAACACACACGATCGCGACTAACGGCTTACATAGATAGGTTTTCTGACTATAATGTCATATACTTTGGCTGGTATGATCCGATGTCGGTGTGGTTTGAGACCGTAACAAAGATATTATATTTGATCAACCTACTGCGTACAGAGTTCGGAGCTGGAGATCGTAGGGCACACCCCTTCCCCTGGTCAGGGTGGCTGTCGCACTGGACTTTAGACCCCCTCGCCATAATACGAACTTAATACATCATATCAAAAAGTCTCAAACGCCTCTCACCACATATTTCGACCTCAATCATCAGTTCTATCGCCAAGTGCCCGTTTGCACCACAAAATATATAAATATATGCGGACGCGTGTGCGTGTGTGTGTATGTGTGTGTGTGTAGTTATATTCACTGACTCGAGTGTTAAAAATTATGTACATTAATTATATAATATTATAACAATGATATACTTACGTTATGTTTTTTTTTCTTCTTAGTGAAAGTAGATGTTTAATATTATTATATATTATAATATAGGGGTAATCGCTTTGTCATTTGACGTTAGCAAAAAAAAAAAAAATTAATTAAAGAAAAAAACGTCATTATAATATGTGCTATGACTGCGAATCTTCATTAGTCTTATTAGAAATAATAAGTATATATATATATATATATATATAAAATACAATATTACATTATAGTTTAAATTTAAAAATAATATTAATATTATATAGGTACTGTTAATCTAACGATAATGTTAAATATTATACCTAAGCCTAATATGATATTACTAAAAATCATACTGTAACCGGTGCATTTTGTGAAAATTGCCGAAACCTTGGCGTTCCTCGTAAACGATTGCGAAAATAAAAAATAAAAGTTTTAAAATACCGAAATTATTAGGTAGTTCCCCGAGTATAGAAGTATATAGAAAAACGGGAGCGTTAAAGTCACAACCGGAAAGTTTTTCAGTGACTTTCGTCTATCACGGTTTTAAAGGACGATAAATAATGATTAAAAAAAAATTGGCAGAAATACGCGAAAATAAATGTCCAAAACGCTAGTGCGGACATGTCGAACATAGCCGGGCCGTAAAAAACACTGAGATCTGACAAAATGTATAAAAAATAAAACCGTGATGCTCCAAGAACAACAAAATAATCGCGATAATAGAATTTAATATATGCGGAATTTATGGCAATTTTTTTCACGACCAAGTTTTCCCGAAATTTGATACCCCGTTGCCAGCAGTAACAGTACGTTTTGCCGATTCAATGCGATGGGCGAAAGTTATTAATTATTACTATTGAAATTTCATCTGTAGAGGAGTCTACGGTGTAGACGACTTAATCTTGGTCACGCCGCGTTGTGATGCCAAAACCAATTTTTATCAAAAAACTACCTATAACTATACCACAAGCTACCTACAATCTACATATTATTATATAACCGATACAATTATAAATCTTTTATTATATTTCATTATTATATTCATTATTATTCAACTGTATATTGTGTTTCGTCTCCTACATAATATATCTGGCGTTTATCATAATGGGAAAAACGTGTTATTATACTAATATTAATTATTATTATTATTATTATTATTATTATTATTATATTATTGTAATTATTATTATTACTATTATTATTATTATTATTATTATTATTATTATTATGATTATGATAATTATTATTATTATTATATTATTATTATTATCATCATTATTATTATTATTATTATTATTAATTATTATTAATTATTATACTTGATGTTTCTTCACAAATACTGTGGACTGTTGTTTGTTTAACTTTATTCATTAATCAATATTGCCAACGGCAATATCTGGAATTTAAATATATATTATACAGGCACTTGAATTTCTATTTTCTACCGCTGTGCTCAGCAAACACCGAATTTCAATGCATTTCGGATATTATCGCCGTAACTTGAGCAACTTAAATGGTGGGGGGGGGGGGGTATTAACTGACTTTTAGTACAACCGTCAACTACAATTAAGATATTTTACTAAATATGAAGTATAACATAATATATTAATTTCTGAGCTAAATGTTATATAATAACCAGGGCTTGCAAACGTTATAATAACGATATGATTAAAACGTTATATTTGACAAAAAAAGCGATTGAAATCTGTAAATGTAATTATAACGGAAAGCGATAATCAAAAATAATTAAATAAAGCAAAACAAAACATAACGATTAACAAAATATACTATATGTATATCATTAAACAAAACATAACGCAAAATGTAATTTATAGAATATCACTAAACGAAAAATAACGCAAAACGTAATTTAAAGAATTGCATTAAATAAAAAATAATGCAAAACGAAATAATTTAAAATCCATTTATTTAAAAGTTATATTGGTTTCGCAAAAATATTTATTTCACGCATACGAACTTATGAACTGATTATATTATATTTCGTATCCATTATTACCTGCCCTCATTAGTTGTTTTTAATAACATAGGTATTAACATTATTCTAAATAACTAAAAAACTCGTATAACGTTTAAATTCTAAATAACGATAGACGCAAAATTTGTGTAACGTTTTAATTGTAAATTACATAAAACGGAATTTTTTTTTTCAAATTCAAGCCTTGATTAAAACTAATAAAACTATGTAGTATTTACTAGGTAGGTAGGTATATAGGTGCCTTGATTGAGTACCTATATACCTATCTCATGTGAATACATTCCTACTTCTACATATATTATGTTATGGTTTATCAAAATAATCATTTATGATAGTTTTAGTATTATTATAATTATTTTATATTACTGTTTCATTCCGAGTTTCATCAAGACTAAAATAAAACAATCCTCGGCATTGCCATAGGAAGAGGTGTCAATATTTTGAAAAGTGGAACCTTAACTAAACTAAAGATTAAAGTGGTCGCTATTGAAATGTTAAGTGTATGTACTATAAAAGATATATTTTTAATACTGTCATTATTATTTGTATTATTACCGACAAAGATGGTGGCTTAATTTAAAATCAATATTAGTATTGTTATTATTACCTAGGTACTTAATAAATTTCAATTTTATTTAATACATATTGGTTAGGTAGGTTTTAGGTTAGATTTTATAGTTTTACTTCTTAAAATTATACTAAGCATGCACTATTATGTACACGTAGGCATAATTTGGAGAGCCAAAATAAGAATGTTTAGACCCTGAGATGAGAAACCACGGTCCTTTATTATTTTCGAGTGTTTTTTGTTACCAGGGGTTGTAAGCCCTCCCTTAACTGCTATTTTGGTGTCATGCAATTTTGTAAGACATGAGTTTGAAATAGAGCCTGAAATTTGACTCGTACCTGGGCCCTTTCATTTCTAGTTGCGGCACTGTCACTACTAATTAGGTTATATTACTATCATAGACAGAAATAACACCATTTTTTTTAGAGGTTACAATGACTAAATAATTAATACATATGTAGATTGATATCTAAATATATATTATCTATTAGCTACTATATAAAGGCCCAAAACTAGCCCATACCCAGACCGACAGTGGCCTGCACATGCCCCCTTCTCTCAGAAGACAAAACAAATGTACTGTAAAGGTCTAAGTTATTTCCACACTATTAAGTATGTAGTATATAGAGCGCCACATCCGCTAGCATTACAAGAGAGCATTACAAAAATAGCCGTTGATGAATTAATTTATTTTTAATTAATTAGTTGTCACATTATTTCTAATTTTTTTTTTTTTTTTAAACTACAAATCCATGGTTAAATCCATGAAATATGCATATAAATGTTCTTAAACCTAAAATATGCAAAATGATGCTATAAAAATGTTTGTATTTACTATTTGAATATATATGTAGGTACTAGGTACGATGGATTGAATTTGTATAGAATCAATATTCAATATGCACTTTCTAAACAAAATATATGCAAATGCCTAAAGTTCAGAGGCTTGGTGATAATCAAAGATAGTCATGGTCTTGCGGTCTTGCAAGACTCTTGCTACAACTTACAAGACCAAGATGATACTGGTACTAGCAAGACAAAGACCAAAATTAGGTTTGCAAGACGAAAACCAAAACAAGACAACACTGTTTTTTCCCCGCAAACACATTAGTGTATAAAGATTTAATTCAATAATTTATAAAGAAAATAAGAAGAAATTATCTTTAAAGTTATTAAATTCGATCGATATTCTAGGAAATGACGAATTTTTGAAAAAAAGATTAAAAATAATTGGAAGTAATA